AGAAAAATGCGTTACTCAGAAGGTTTTATTTTTAAGACAAGAATTTACTTTTTTTTTTTTTAATTAGAAGCAGGTGCTCCCTTTTTGTGTTGATGCCAGAAAAATTGAAGATTTTGGCAAAAAAATAACAGAAATACAGTCAAAGAGAAAATATGCTTTAATTATTGTAGCATGTTAAAAACTGTATTTCTAAGCTGCCAGGAAGCTTGACTTACGGATTTGTTTGCTTTTCTTTTATTTAGTGAGCCTTCACCCATTCTGCTTTATTATTCTCGCTCTTTAAACCTGCATCTGAGATAACTGGGAAATTAACTGCCTGCATTCCTGTGAGTGTTCACCCAGGTCCTTTGCAACTTGCCTCATACAATTTCTCTTGGTGTTGCAGAGGTCATTGTAAAAGTACCTATTCAGGCTGCAATGAAAGACATGACAAAGTTAGAGGAAAACAGCACTGATAATTTAACTACAGAGTTTATCATGCTCTGTGTGCATGCAGTAAAGGCAAGAGTGAGAGCTGAGGGGTTAGAAAGGCCACAAGCACTAGCCCAGTCTGCCTATTTCTTTTCCTCTTTCTTCTCCCAGGTCCTATCTCCTCATCTCCATCTCTAGACTGCTGTTCCCATCTCCAGTTCGCTCCCCTAGACCACCTTCTTTGTTAATCTATTTGCCCGTGTCATGTAGCAGGGAATATTTGTCTAAACTATCAACACGTGTAGAAGTTATATGCAACTGACTGTTACTAGCTGGTAGTTTTGTATTATGGCTCATCTAAAGCCACTTCCCAAGTGTCACTGGTTTGGGCTCACTCCCTGGACTGTGAGTGGTGGTAGCTGCACTACTGATCACCAGTCAAGGCACAGGCAGAGGAACAGTCACCTGTCCATCTCTGCCTCTTCCACCGTATGCCACTGACATTTCCTCAGATCTCAGTTTACCCTGTTTCCCACATCCTCTATACTCTGCTTTAACTGATGAACAGGTAAAGAGGTTTAGGTTTATTCCCACTACTCAGCTGAATCTCTGTGGTCCCCTTTATCTACCCTGATGATCTGGAAGACATCAGACCACCCTTACAATCTTGCTGAGCTGGGGAAGATACAGGACTTGTCTTGTGCCCTCCATGGTTGGAATTCCCAGCCTGAATCAAGATACTGAAAGTTGACAAGCAGAGGCATCACTAGGATAACAGTCTCATGAAAGTTAATATCACAGTATAACTGTTGCCAGTTATTTATACATACTGCAATTCATATTGTTAGAGAACCAGTCTGAACTTTAACATTTACATCCCTCAAAGCATTTGGCTTAAATAGATACTTCATTTCCCCAAGTAAAAGGCAAGCTGAGTCTTGATTGTTAAGTTCCACTCTCTTCAGTGAATCCTACAGTAGGAATTATAAATCTTCACTTTCTTTTCTCCTGAACAAAGCTGTTGTAATATCATTTTTAGTATGAGGCTCTGAATAGAACTATGGCTAATAGCTAATATGTTCTCAACACCCCACACAATTGTGTCAGACTCCTCAGGAATACGATTTCCACTTTTTGATGTGTTTTGAAGGAGCTGGGTTTTATTTTACCATAGAAATTACAATCCTAAATTTACTGTTAGTCACTCTAACCATGAACTTTCTATAGACAACTAAATTTTTCTGCCTATTGCACCAGCATCCTCCCCTAACTCATCCTCTAAAATGTCATAATACTGGCCAGAATGGTTGAAATCTTAATTTGGTGGTTTCTGTGGAAAACATCTACAATGACATAATGCATGTATAGCTCTCTCCAAGCATGCATTTTATTTCATTGTTTACAGTTCACTGGCCTGTGTAGAGCCCAGACAGTTCTACTGAACAATGTTCTAGCTCTCATCCACTATTTCCATTAACAGATGGACTCTTTTCCCTTTCCTACCTTATAGCTGAAAGATCTGAAGAAAATCTGGCATGTTCCTTGGCATGAAGCTAGGTCTTTAAATTCTTCATTACGATTTAAAAATCCCTACTGGGGAATGAATTTTCTGATCATTCAAATTCAAGCAAGTCAAGAGGTCTATTATATTAATGGTATCTTTTATTGCTTTACAATTCAAAAAGGACAATATATGACACCATTTGAGAACAACAGAAGGGGAATAATCCCAGCAGCTAAGAAAGTGAATGACACAGTTTTTCACAGAGCCCAGTTTCAACCTTGAGTACTGTAATTTCCTACAGCTGAAACCACTGCCACAGCTGAAAGTACAGTGCTTTAGAAGGAGAAGACTTTTTCTAGTCCATAACTGACAATAAAAGAAATGACAGATTCTGGAAGTATCTAGATGCTATGATCAGCATTCATTTTGCCACTATTATGCTACTGCAGGGTTTGAAGAAATCTTCCAGGCACCAAAGACAAATGATTTGGAGGGTTTCCCAAGGAGAAAAAAGTTGTGGGACATTATTAGGAGACCTCTCCTCCCTCTAAACAAATACTGTCAACAGCAGTAATTATGTCTTTCAATAAGGTAAGCTACATCAGTCAGAGACTGAGCTATGGTCATAATGACTGTAATAAAGCAGTAAATACCATCTGAAATGATTAATAGAAACTGTAGTAGTTTAAATTTTATCTGATTTGTATAAACATGTAGTAGTAGCCAAAAAAATCTCCTCCTTCAATTCAAAAACATACACATAAAAATCCCTAAACTATCAGTGGTTTTCCACTGTACTAGAGACTCTGAGGAATCTGTCTATGCAATCTTAATTCATTTTGTTTGATTTTATGAACTCTATTTATTGCTATGACCTTTGGTTTGCTTTAAAACCTTCTTTTTATGGTAGAAAAGGCAGTATCTTTGAATCTGAAACAGGAACATCAAAGACTGTCATCAAAGAGACAGGCTCTTCAAGAAGAACAAAAAGACGAATCACCAACCACATCAGAGGGCTGAGCTGAGCAAGTGAAGGACTGGAAAGACACGCTCTCCCTAAGGATGCTGAAAGGCATCCCAGCAATGGTGATGATACAAGAGGGAGGAGTTTGCTGTCAGATGTTGTTTTTTGTACACATCTGTAAACCTCCTCAGTTGTCTGCAAGTGAAGCTACTGCAGGTTTAAGAGGGTTTTAACAAAGTAGACTAGTTTATGCCTCTTGTTTGGTCAAAGAATTAAACTAAGGATCCTACTTCAGTATGTTCTGAGTAGTGCATGCAAGGGTTGTGCAGCTTTCATGCAGTGGTGTCAGGTCCAGCTCTAATGTTGAGAGTCAGGGAAGTGGTTCGTAGCCTTCCAGAAAAGCGTCCCTGGAAATCAACATCATTTTTTCCTCAAAGGTGTGCCTCCCATTCCAAAACTCCATTATAGAAAGTTCATGACTCACATGCCAAATTTTTACTTCAAGGTTTGGAAACAGTAGAGTTTCTCAGTCAAACAGCTGCTAGTATTTTACATTTTTAACACGGGAAAAGATTTCTTATTAGCAATCTCAGTTCTGGAAACACCTTAAAATTTCACAAACAATTAGATGATGTATCTGAGCAGGAAAAACACTATTCTGAACCATTCAAGTTGTTAGATATTATAGGCAGTTAATAACAGCATCTCACAGTACAGCATGCCAGGCTTTAGTCATATAGGTGAACCTCTTACAGTGATAATGATTGCCTGGTATAGAAGGGAGTTGAATATAGTCCTTGTAAATTTAGTACAATATTTCAAATGCGTTTTCTGAAAGCACAAGTCCTCGGTGGTTGTAGGCTGTACATCTCACCACTCTGTGTTCTCATCATGTCAAATCCTTCAAGTTAAGTGACATTGCACTCAGTCTGCACTAAACAGTGCTGGTGATTCACTAGACTGCAGTCTCCCTTTTAAGTCTGTTTTGAGCCAATACTCTGATAGGGGTTTATTAAAGAGCACTATGATGATGCAGGTCTAATCCTTTGATGGGGCCTACTGTTGGGATGTGACCCCTTTTTGATCATTTAACACTCATAGCAATTTTTCTGAAAGCCACAGTTTGCTTCTTAACCTGGATATCTTGGACAAATTCCAGCTCAGGAACAACATGCTGAAAGCTCAAGTCCCCAGATAGTTTCAGTGATAGAAACCAAGTTACTGTTTAAACTGTTTATTATTGATGAAGTCTTTAAACAGTGCTTGTCATCTACACCAGAAGTAATAACCTCTGGTGATTCCATCCTTTACCAACTACTCATCACATATTTGTTCTCTGTGTCTAAGGAGTGTTATGAAAAATAATTATTTCGGTCATTGTGAAGGCACTGCAGACTTTTATGTAAGAGGTGACATGTAAGTGTTAAGTATTATTGCATTGCTTGCAATGTTATTATTACATTGTTGCTTTTTTTTTTTTTTTTTTTTTTTTTTTTCAGTAGAGTCTCTAGCTAGCTAGTTTAAAAATACAGTTCACAGGCACCTAGAAAGGAATTTTTGAATTTTTCCATGGGCTGGGAAAACAGGGTGCTAAAATATTTTCATTTGTGAACCTGGCATATAAATTCATAATTGCTTGACTAGCTAGAAAGCAGCATTAAAAGAAGCTTGTTACATTTCCTATTTTATATGCAATAAACAAAAACTATAAATCATATTTAGAAAACGGAATTGTAAAATGTCTTTTGGAAAAAAAAAAAAAAAAAAGAGAACAGATCTTGCTAGAATATTTAAAGGAGACCAGTCTTCCAGAATGAGAATGAGTCATCTATAATCACACATCATATCTTCTAAGCAGTTCTTTGTCAGGTGTGTGTTTAATTTCCTGCTGGGTTTTTAATTCTGCCAGATAACATGGAGGGAAAAGGAAAGATGTTCGAGTCATGAGAATTTTTTTGTTGTCTTCCCTTCCTTCCCCCTTCTCTAAAACTGTGATTTGGAATGGCTCAAATTTTGGTCTGTTACAGTGCCAGAGAAAGGCAGCTAACATTTGTATCAATAGATTCAAACTAGTTACAGTATATTTACTTTTCCTCTGCTGGAATTCTAACAGACTTTTTTTTTTTTTTTTTTTTTTTTTTTTAAAACATTATCCTAAAAAGCAATGGAACAAGTCTCCTGCATCACAGCTCCAGTGTAAGCCATACATCCACCTCTGGCCGTTTTAAAGCTGAGGGCCACAGTGCAGGGAACAACTGCAAACAAGTGTGTGCCTGCAGAAAGCTGGACACTTCTCCAGCTGTTAGAAAGGCACGCTGGAGATGTAAGTTTGAAGGGACTCTGGTGAAAGCCTCTCCACAACGACCAGCTAAGAAAAAGTAAGGAAAGGTGAGTTCTCTCTCTTCCTCATGCTGCAGTATAATGTATTGTTAATAAGTGTTACACACCTCTTAGACCTTTCGCATCTTTCAGTTAAGAATAACAACCTCTCTGAAAAAAAGGAAAAAATTCAGGTATTTGTGCTGCTAATAAATCTTCCTTTGATCTTGCAAAGAGCTAGAATTTTCTGAACTGTTAGAAATGACTGACTATATGAAGAGTTGATCTTTTGACCAATTAGACTAGGGCCGTGATTGGAGTTTTCCATATTCCCTGTCTGAACATCAAGGAGTCAGACTGTAACTGCTGGGGCAGCCCTGAAGAAGGAGTATTTTCCTTCTAATAATGTATTCAATAACTTCAATTATGATCTACAAATGAAGGTATTTCTTAATTGCTCTGTGTTCTTTGCCCTTAATTTAAGCTTTATACCTCCAAAAGGGATGTCTGGAATCTGGAGCTCTCTCTCACAGTGCAAAATGGGAAAACACACAGCAGCCTGCATGGATTTAAATCACTCTTCTAAATATTCCTAAGGCATCCAGCTCCCTTCAATGTACCTGAACAGGTGCCTCTCAGAACATTAAGGTGTATAATCCTCTGGTAAGTGCTAAGTAGGCTGCTATTTTTCCAAGCAGAAAGCGCTATTCTTTCCCCTCCCCCACATTGTCCTCTAAGAAACGTAGTTTTCATAAGAGCAAAACGGAGACTCTATTTCAAGTCTCTATAAAAGCACACACAGAGAATGGAAAAAAAAAAATCGATATGAGCCTCTTTGGCAGCTGAAATTAGATGCTTCATAATGCTGTGCCAATCTCACTGAGCATCATGTACCTTACCTTCTGTGCCTTTTCACTTCTTTTTGTCCCTTTGCCTGTGGGAATAAAATACAGTCTTGGGGTTTTTTTTTTTGGTTGCCTTAGGATTTTTTTATTAATAACTAAAAAAAGGTCACAGATCAGATCAGTGGTTGGTATCTTTTTTTAATGAAATGTTCCCATGTCAGGTGTTCCTAGTTCAATTAGGTTGTCAGGGAGCATGTTTTGGTTATATTCTAAACAAACTAAATCAGTAGTTTTCATGAAAGCTCACTGCTAAGGAAGATGCACAGAGCAGGCAGAACCTACGCATGATAGGTTTCTCTGAGACTGGTTGAGGGAACATGATTTTGAGATGTTCCTGAATATATTAGCATTGTACTGATGAGAAGGACTACTGCGTTTGCAGTGGCTATGTAAAAGTATTTTTGTATGGTCAGCTGAAAAAAAATGATGTCAAGCACAGCTTAGGAAGCATTCCTTTTTTGAGAGGGTGGTCAAACACTGGAACAGGTTTCCTAGAGAGGTGGTTGATGCCCCAAGCCTGTCAGTGTTTAAGAGGCATTTGAACAATGATCTTAATAGCATGCTTTAACTTTTGGTAAGGCCTGAAGTGGTCAGGCAGTTGGATTAGATGACCATTGTAGGTCCCTTTCAACTGAAATAGTTCTATTCTATTTTATTCTATTCTAACTTCAGAATATGCTGTTTAAAGCAACTTATGTAACAATTATTCAGTGCTGCATGTAAACTACAACTTTTTCTAGCGATAACCAGCAAAAAAAACATACTGTTGAAAATTCCTATGAGAGAAGTGAGTTTCGGTGGTTACCTGTGCCCTTTACTGGCCTTCACAGTCCTGATTAAATCAAGAGGCCAAGTACTCCATCTTGTTCAACATACTGCCTGACTGAAGCAGTGCGGATCAGCAGGAGAAACATGCTGAGGAACACCCCAAGGTTTTTCTGTCAGAAACAGAAGGTAGTGCAAAGTCTGGAGAGAAGGGCAGGGAAATCCAGCTCAGCCCTTCAGCAACAGAACAGCTTCTGTGGGACAAGGCAGGGGGAACTGGTTAAATTTGGGCAGTCTGCCCACTCCAGTATTAAAATGCAGAAAAAGCCTGTGGATTAAAATTTTAAGTATTTTATGTATAAAACCCCGTGATTATTGCCTTAACTTACTTTCTATTTTTATTTTTCTTAAAGAGAGAAAGCGACCATTGACAGAGATTCAGAAAAGAAGGATGTGATTCTTCTTGTTACTAGGGCTACCAAAGTAAAACCTATGTAGAAGTTGATTTTAGTTTGTTAGCATTTTTATTTGTTAATCTCAGCACATTGAACAGTTTAATAACATCTAAATTTATTAACTGATGTTACCAACATCCATACAAGCTATATTTCAATCCCTGTATTTCAGTCAATTATTGAGTGACAGTGTTCTGAACTGCGGTCAAGGCAACAGGTGTACTCCCTGCATAGCCTGTACCCCTGCCAAAGGTTACAAAATGTTGAATTCTTCATCTGTGACCTTTACATAATGAAGAAGGTCATTTTAATGCTAGGACATCTGCACTAAGCCATATGGTGAGCTAGAAATGGTGTGATCACCACTCAAAATATGTTGCAGAGATATTATTCTGGTGCCACGTGCCCTCTGGTATCTTCAGGCACGGTCTTATTTGTCACTTAGTAAAAGCATAATCATTTGAAGAAAAATGATCTGGACTATTTAAAAAAAATAATTAAATACTTAAACAGAAATATTTGCTGTTGGATCTGAAGATCATCTCACTGATGTTGCTCTCTTATCTGCCCTTGCCTTTGGCTTTGGACACACATTGCATTTGTTGCAATTCATCATTTGACCAATGAAGTTAGGAGCTCTCACAAGTAATGAATTAATAAGGTTAATTAGAGAACTATGGGTTATTTCTCCTCCTGTTTGCATGGCATCATGATTTAAGCCCACAATATGGTCCAGGTGACAGTCAACTGGATGAGAAGATCCCAAAAGGTGGGCACCCAGAAGAGGAAAGTTCCTTCAAATGATTGGTGTCCAGCACACTGAACATTGTACAAACATGAAAGGAACTGCCCTAAGTCTTAGATTTGACAATAAATGTCTGTCTTCATACAACAGGAATTGTTTTGCTTAATGTTGTAGTATAAGAAGCCCCCCTACACAGATAGAGCTGATTTTTAGATTAAATGAAGGCTGGAAAAGGAATTCAAATCCCAAATAAATAACGCTTGTGTAAGAACACAGTTCAAAATAGCCAGGAGAGCCAGTTCGCTTGTTCTCAAAAGCTGCCCTACTATTGTTAAGCATATTAAGAGGATTAGAATCAGGATGTGCTGAACACATGTGAAACACCTGTGATAAGTGCTCCGAAAATAATTCAGCAGTACAGAGCTCTTACTGGGTCACAAATTACTTGATTAAAGCTGGAAAAGCCAAGGGTGTTTTTGTTTTTCTTTATCAAAGCCATGATCATTTTTTCTCCCAGCAAACAATGCTTTAATGTTGAAGCTTAATGGGATTCTTATCATTCAGATGCAGAATATAACATTTTAGTGATTTTCTTGTTTTTTCCTAACATTTTTATTCCAGTGTTACATTTGAAAAGCTTGATGAATGGTTAAAATGAAAGAAAAAGTGAAGAATTACACAGAAAAAAAGAAAGACCATTTCCAGGAGAATTCTTTGATTTCAGGAAATTTGGCCTTCCTTATTATAAAAAGACAGTTTTTGATTGATCTGAAAAGTTTCTTAAGGTTAAGAGATTGACAGCTTTGTCTCTGTAAGGTAATTTAAATTTGTCTCTGAAATGGGCCAGGAAAACTGCTATACTTATTTTTTTTTGAAAGAATCAGAGATAATGAATTAGATTACAAACAAAGATGTGTAGTTATGGTGGGTGGCTTCCTTTTTCCAAAAAGCTCATTTTCCAGGAGAAAATTAATTATTAAGAGAAATTTGGACTTCATGCACGAAAATATAAATTTCAGCATCATAATGAAAGATCATGAATTGAATGTCTTTAGAGAAATACTTTAAAAACATGAATAATCAACTAGCAAAATTTCTAACCTACTAATGAGATTCCCAGCAAGCTCTCCAAAGCTTTAACTTTTAACTAGGTACAGGGTTTGTCCTGTGAGCCTGCACATCTGAGGGTAATAAATGTACCTGCAGATTTTCTGCTTGTGATGTCTGACCTTATGGTGGCACGTGGAAGTCAACCTGAGTCCTACCCAGACAGGCAGGGCTCAAAAACTGAGTTTTAACAATTCTGACTGAGCCTACAAAAAACAAACTCCCCATGGCTATTTTTTCAACAGAAAAATCCATCTAGAATATCCTGCAGCTGCAGTGTGAGCCTGGCAGCCGTGGAAGGAAATGGGGAAGGTTGTTACCTCCACCAGCTCCTTCTCTCTCAGAGTGCTTTTTCTCAGTAAACACTAATAATCTCCCAGCAGCGCATATAGACTTTTGGACAATATGAATATACTGCAGGGAATCTGATCTTCGATATTTCCCTTGAACTCTAAGAGAAGTCTCCTTACACACTGGTTTATCTACAGGATTGTATTTTCAGCATCTGTGACGTTAGCCTCCAGTAAATACTGTGTTCAGGAGACCCACTAGTTTATTTCTGTTCTTGCCAACTGACTTACCCGGCATGTTAATATTAACAATCATATTTGTAGAAATGGATCAATTAATTCAAATTTAATTTCCTTTTCAATGGGCAATATATGTAAAGAGCAATAACCAATGTAGCATAATTTTACCCATAGCTACTGTAAGTGGGTACAGAATATCATATTTATTTCATTTTAAAAGCATTGCTTTTAAATAAGCAAATGATATTATAGGACCGTTAGATTTCCTTCTTCCCTCAATGCATTGCAAAGATGTAAGAGGGTTGAGAAAGGTGAAGCCATTTAAACCCAGACATTTGTTTGACATTATTTTGGAGTCTGATCCAAAGTCAGATTCCTCCAAAGGGAACATTTCCTTTTAGTTTGTTAGGGTTTGGTATAGGCCCATAATTAGCATTAAGAAAGATCCCCCAGCAGACACAGAAAGTGAAAATGTTCTGGAAACTGCACTATCACTTTACCACAATAAACTGTTTGTGTTTAACTTAGTCACTATGGAAAACAGAAGAAATGTATTACAAAACATGACTGAAAAAATACTGTGAAATTCAACACCAGAAAATCCTTAATTCTCAATCCAAATCTCCTGTGCCAGGAAAAATTAGTAAACATTCTTTTATAAATTAAATTAGGATTATTTTTCAGATTAGGAGCACAGAAGTGGGTCAACTGATAGTTGCAATCATACTTCAGTGTTAGACTGTAGACCAGGGAAGGCAATCAAGAAAGTTAAAACTACCTTTGGGAAACTCAAGCTGTAACACTTAGGGAAACAGAATGGAGTTGTACTAGCTCTTGAATTTTTAATAGACAAGACCCTGAATAATGAGGAAAAAGACAATTACATCCTTCGTTACAAGAAAAATACGAAAAGGATCAGATGGTTTTGTTTCTATAAGAAAAGAAGGTGCTTACTGAGGAATTCCTGGTGGTATGACTAGAGTTTCAAAGATAGGGTCATATAGATTCCCATATAGAAAATCCCAAGGAAAAGCACTTAAGTCTGACATCAATACTGTCATCTTGCATGGTCAATACCTGTAATCCAAACTCAGCACTTACATCCCATTGCAGCTGCTCCCATGAATCTGAACTATAAATTGTTGTTTTGTTTTGTTTTGTTTTCAATTTGATTTGCTAACCACTGTCTATATATTTAAATCTTTCCCAAGATGGGAAAAAAGCATGGGTGTCTAAAAAGAAGTTTTATCACTTTCTGTGGGAAACATTTTTACTATCTTCTACTAAGTCTATGCTAAGATCTTCTTACCAGAATGGAATAAAGCTTCATGGAGTGTACATCAAAAGAATTTTCCCAGTGAACTAAGCATCTTCAAACAACTGAGCTGGCCTCAGTGAGTGGAAATATCCAGTGCCACAAAGAAATCCCTCTGGCACCTACTCCAGAAAGAAACATTTCAAAGATGACAGAAATTAGGTGACTGATTACTTTCCAGAGCAATCTATATATTTGACTTTTCCATATTGTTTGGTGGTGGTTTATTAGATCATTTCTGAGGAACAGCTATTATGTAGCTCATAGCCCAACAGAAATTTGGTAGCCAGTACCAAAATGTGATCATCTTTCAAGTTATCCTGGCTTTCTTTCTATTTGGACTAGATCAGTGTAAGAAAAGATGGCTGAACTTTAACTCTTAATGAAGTAACTACACCGGATGCGATCTGGTTAAGCCTACTTACTTGCATCTAGAACTTAAAAAATGGAGATAAATACTTGCCATAGTTGTATGGTACAAAGCCCTGGGGGTAGGAGTTCTGCCCGAGAACTCCTCATGCCCAGTGCTTCACAGGGAGCAGGCTACAAGCTGGCATGTGATTTCATGGCACACTTTTCTCTGTGTGATGGTATTAGGTGCCTTTAAGTGGTTCTTTCCTCCAGTGGGTTTATCTCCCTCACTGACATAGTCAAACACAATAAAAATCTAGTTCAGAAAGGTCTATGAGACTACATAAACATCTATACCAAATACCCCTGAATACCCTCAGTGTGCTGTTGAACAGTAAAAGCACATTATTACAATGGGTCACAAAAACAGAGCAGAAGAGATCAAGGGTCTCTGCAATAGGAAGAAATTTGCGAAGTTGAATTCCGATATCATCTGTGGTAATGCCCCATGAAACTGGCTAAGAAAAATAGAACTAACATGGGTCTCAAGTATCTGCCCTATGGAAATATGCTTTCCTTCCCACAAATGAGTCAGTCTCTTTAAACCTGAGCAAGCTAATCAACCCCCCTAAGAAATTTCAGAATCTGTAGGAAGACTCTTGTACCACTCCCAATAACCTGTTTTCAGTCTCCAGTGTGTCAAAACAAAAGACAGCTTCTTTTCTCTGTTCCCCATCCCCTGTTTCCTTCCAACCAAATTATGCATTCAGGGAAAAATTTCCCATGTAGCTTTTTCTTTCTCATTCTCCCTTCTTCACCTTCCTTTTCAATATCTCTTCATAATAATTCATTTTGGAAATACCCTCTGCATTTTGATTTAACTTCCAGAATCAAAAACCCACTCTGAGTAAAAACTCTCTTCAGCATAAAGCTGGCAGACTTTCTCCCTTGCTGATAACAGGCATTTGGGTATGTTGCCAGCAGTTACTTTGATAATAGTCACACTATCTTATTGACAATTAATGTAGGCTTCCCTGTTAGACTAGTAATTAAGCCTTCAAAATGTTGGAATCTGGTCCAGGTTGAATATTCTGAATAGAAATTGTGAATAAATAAATAAAAAATTACAGTTAATGGGAATTGACAATATCTGGTTGAAATGCAATCTGGATCCAAGTGTGATCCCGCTCCTTCGTAGGGATCATGGGGGGTCCAGGCTGGATCATTCTTGCGAGTGCTGAGGGATGGCACCCCCCAGCTCACCCAGCAAAATCAGTGCAGTTTCTCATTGGCTGAATCAGGTATTTTTCACATGAGTGAAGAAAACAACTGTCACTATACAAGACAGAATAAGATCTTTCTGAAACACAGAGTGCCACCTCGGTGGTTTGTGTTTGTTAGCTGTCTTGATGAACACTGCAATTAAAGTTGCTGGAATAAAACCTATCCTCCAGCTGCATAGTAGTCAACAGCAGAAAGACAAAACCAGGAGTGGGAGGGCTCCCAGTTATGCCCAGCTATGGAAGACCTGCAACAAATTCCCATTTACTCAAACCGGGAAAATCGGATAAGGAGTATCTGCTATTGCCCTTTGTCCTTATCGTATGCATATTTACAATACATGCCACTGAATCAAAACAAACATTCCTTATAAGTTTAATTTCCCTGGGAAGATTTGGAGTAAAGCAGCTGCCAGTTGTTGATGTGAACAACCTTCCTGCCCCACGTGTCTCTGAGTCACCTCTGTTTTCAAAATTACTGATTTGTCAGGAGACAGACATTTAACTAAGTTCTGCCATCTAAGCTGTAAAACACAGCTGCCCTTTTTGACCCAAGCAGTTAGACAGAGGATTTTAGGTTCAAAGGAAAATATAAGATTAGACAGACATCTCTCCTATGCAACCTGTGTATTTCCAACTAACGTTCCCTGGCAAAACAAGAATAAAACTTGGGCATGAGGAAGTTCACAGCCCCTTTTTATTTAGTCCTCGCTTCTAAAATACTTAATCTTTACTTTTCTTCTACTTATTTTTCTTAAAATCTCTAATGTTATTGCTGCCTATTTTTTTTTTTTTTTTCACACAGAGACAGAGAAATACATATATTTCCCTACAAAAGAAGAAGAAATCCTTAACCATATCTCTTTATCCACATGTGTCCTGCAAGTATTCCAGGGACAACTGTATCCCAGAAGGTGTTGTACTACCTTGGTCTTGAGTAGAAGATACCAAAGGTTATTTTTTTCTTACATTATCTATTAATAATGAAGGTTTTGTAATATTAATGTCAGGATGGTTTAATCCAATGATAGCAACAAGTTTTGCTACTGTCTTCCAATTTAATACATTGGAAATATGAGGGAGATCCTATTTCCAAGTTGTGTCAAACATAATTCTTAAGTATGGATATAAAAGAAATCACAAAAAGCAGTTAGAAACTTTCTCTTCTATTTAAAGAGAAAAAGACTGTTCTGCTTTTTTTTTTTTTATTTTCAGATAAAATATCTTTGTTTTCAGTAAACTTTACATATTTCACATTTAAATGAAAAATATGTTCTAGCCATGGAAAAATCACTAGTTTGGCAGCAAACTTATTTTAAAAGATGGAAGAATCTTTATTCTGAAGCAGCAGAAATATTGTTTTTATTTTGTGTTGGGTTTTTTTTGAACTGAGCAATCTGGTTATTTAAAAAATAACCCAAGATTATATTTCAGCCTGCCATATTCTGCAGGCAAAATATATCAGAATTGCAAAGAGCTGTAGTCACTGGAAATGGGAAACTGGTGTTGATAAGCTTGGCTTCCCATATAATCATTTCAGGTGAGTTGGTGACAGCTGAAATCAAATTCTGGGGATGAGCAGATGTGTTTTTAAATGGCTGAGTTCCTCCTCCCTCTTTCCTGTGTATGCAGATTTAAGGGAAAAAAAAATATTTTAGGGGATTGATAATACAGCTTTTAAACCATCTTTTTTAAACTGTCTTTTTCATCTTTGCTAATGTGTTTGAGAAGGAGAGGGCTTTTGATTGAGAAAACAGTGTGAAATTCAGACCCCATTTTGAAGGACAGCTTCTTCTCCTCTGTTTCAAATACCATCTCTATTGCTTTTTATTTACAAATATATTTATTTGTTAGGCTGTGTGTGTTGGAGTGATAAGGAGGTCCTGGACTTGTCAATAGACTAGAGGTCTGAGTGGTCCTGCTAGGAAAAGAAAAATAAAAGAATTATTGCTTATGAATTTGATTTTATGTTTTTTAGTTTTAAGTTTTCCAGATTTTTTTCCAGAAGCTTCTCTACAGCTGGCAGAGAAGAGAAATTCCAGCTGTAGCAGAGCTGAGAATGTACAATTTTTGTTTGATAACTCTTCATTTTAGGTAGGGTGGGTTAGTAATTTTTAAGGTCAGCTGAAGAGGTGGTCATGAAGGTGAGGGGTTGGAAATCCTGAATCTGGACATGACAGGAGTTTGAGGTGAGGAGGCGGTGGGGTATTAAAGAAACCTGAAAAGGGAAAATAAACATTTCCCTCCTGAAAAAAGGATTTTTTTTTTTTTTTTTGGTAGAAAATCAAAGGGAATAAAGGAGGGTAACAGAGGGTTTGAGGATGGAACCTGTGACTCAAGCACCATTAGCAACACAGTATCTGCTTCGATCCAAATCTGCATTTCTCTTATCCTATTAAATAGGAAGGCCAGGCTATAGTTACTGCTCGCTCCAAGTAAAGAGCAGCACAGAGCAGCACCACCTCCAGAAAAGAGCGGGGATGAAGCCTTTGCCGCAGACTCTCCATGTGGTTTCTGCTGCCCTACCCTCCTTCCTCCCTGCCCACCTCTGACCCGGTGAGCCCCCTTGTCCCCCCTGCCATGGGCCCTTTCATCCCCTGGGCCTGCCAGGGGAAGGGCCATGCACAGCCCAGCTCTGCTTGTGTTTAATCTTTCCTCACCGGCTCTGTGATCTTGTGGACAGGAAAGGTGGGAAAAAGCCTCTCCTCACTGAATTGTAAACCACAAAACTGGTGGTCAGGGGAAAGGATCAGAGGTTTACATTTAAGAGTATTCTTTTGCCACCTGTGATTTAGGATCTTCAAAAAGAGGCAGAAATTTCTGGAACTGGTTCAACACATACAAATATCTCCAGTGAAGAAAAGGAACAAGATGCAAACACTCCCACAAAGTCAATTTTCTGCTTCTTGCCTGCTAGACACAAAAAAAGCTGTAATGATAGAGAAGATCCTTGAAAAAGATCATAGCCTCCCAACCCAGAAGGACCTTTCTCATAGTTTCCAAAATACAAGGGAACATGCTAGACCATTCAGTTGGATTTTCAATCACTAAAAATCTTCAATTTCTGAGACAACTGGGCTGACTCTCCTGGGTCCCCTCAAGGGTCTGAGAGCTCCTCGTTCCCTCTTCAGTGTGCCACTAGAGCTGGCAGCCATCTTCATGCACCAGGTTTCTTTTATTTTATGTCTAGGATTAGTTAATTAACATTAAAGATTGCCCACTAAAAGTGCATTATTATGCCTCAGTGAGGGCAGCCCAGGGTGGAATAAATGAGCTTGGTTCTTACTCAGGTATCTGAAGGGACCATGCAAGTGCACAGAGTAAGGTGCAGGGGGATCAAGTGAGTACCTCACCCTGAAAGCCAGTGTGAGATTAAACAGCCTAATGAAGTATCTACAATGCCACTCAGCACCTACTCTGCTGAGGACCACAAGGGTTGTGCTCGTAAGGAAAATTGAAACAGGACTAAGCCCGAGGCCAAAGGCTTGTGGACCAAGATTAGTACACATGGTCTGATTTTGCAACTCTTTTAAAAGCCAGAGTGCCAATCTCACTTATTTCTTCTCTAGTCCACCTAGAAGAAATAAGAAACTGCACGTTTTATGTAAAGTTCGGTAGAAATTCCAACTCGCATTCGCGGATGTCATTTCTTATGAATGGTCTATGATCTGGTGGGTGCCTCTAACAGAAGATGGCTGCTGTGTTAGACTTGGATGAGCAAACCCATCCTGATTACCCTAGTCTTGTTACGTGAGAATTTGTAGCATATTTCCCCTGAAACAAAGAAACATGGCACATAAGCCAGCCAGAGACGGGCACGCATTTCTCTCCCTGAGCTACTGAGTGTTATTATCCTGGAAGGCAGCACTGCCATCTGGGGGATGGAAAAACAATATTTCAGTCACAGTTCAGCTACTCTGTTGGGGGGTGGTGGTGGAAACATGGAAAAATAAATAGAAGCCTGCAGTAGCTCACAATGATTTTCTTACAGTAAACATGAATCAACAATCCCCTCTTGGATTATTGGTCTCGAATTGGGTAACATTATTTTTCTCTTTAATACAAACGTTTTACCCTTTCTAGAAGCATAAGTGGGGTCTTGCCTTTTTAATGTTTATATCATTTAACAACTGGCTACATGGTGCAAACACTCTGTAATGAATTCCCTGTAATTCCTTGAATTACAGTATAATTCCCTTTTTGCTCACTTACACCAGTAAACAAGGGCAGAAATGATTTACTGAGCCCAGCTAGTAAACTGTTCTAGAGGCTAGCCTACAATCTTTGAAATTTGCAACAAATAATAATGCAGACATTACCATATCCATATCTTTTGACATCCTACTGATCCTACTGTCATATTCTTTACCCACAGCATTTATTTTGAAACATGTGTCTTATTCCTGGGAAAACTGTTGTCCTTTCTTCCCTCTCATCTAGGTCTGTCAGGGTTTTCTTCTGTTTCACTGATAGAGAAATTGCTGTGCATAGTTGCATACCTAATTATTTCTCTGATTTAGCCTAAAGCCTTTGTAGAATATAGAGCTAGCAGTCTTAAAAAAACCCACCACCACCTCAAAAACACACCAAAAAAAACAAACCCAAAAGCCAGCAACATGATTCATCAACAATTATGATATGTTGACATGTAGCCATCTGCTTCTGATGTCCTAAATTGCCTGTATGTTTTCTGCATAAGCATGTTCATATCGAGTGTGATGACACAAGGAGCATAAGCTGACCTGAGACCACACAGAGGCCCGAAGTGTGATTCCCACTCCCGCTCTGCCCTCAGCCTTGTGCTTCCATCCTTTCATTGTGTTGGCTCAGACAAGCAAATTGACCTTGCTGAAAACTTTGTGGGTTTTTTCTGTTTTTAATTTTCCCAAATGAAAGTTAGCCTTTATCCATAGCTGTTCCCTGTTAACAGTGGCACAAGGGAAAGCTGAGATCCTGCAGTTAAAATTGCTATTTTGAGAGGTGGTATAAGATATGTATCTGCTTACACTGAGCATGAAACCACATCATCCTATATATGGTTTACATATCTAATAACTGAGTCATATTTGAGGTAGCATGCTTAAATCCAGAAGATTATTGCATGAAAATTCTGATAGTCCATGAGTTTTCTAAAAGAACAAACTCATATTTTGTCTGTAAAGCATACAGAAAGAATCTTTGTCAGTAGTCCAAAACAACATAAAACTGAACAAAACTCTTAAGACTTAGTGCCGAGATTTTAATGTAGATTCTTATATAAATAGATTATATAAGCATACCCAAATGGATTACCCCAAACAATATTATTTGAACTGACTCATTACTTATTTTCTATTTACCATTTAACTGCAAATGACTGTCCTCTGCATGAAGCCACTTTCTTTTTATATCACTTACTATTTTAGTGAGCCCATCTATCCTACCTCTGCTGAAAGGATTCTCCTGCGGTGTATAGAAAGCGTTTTTAATTCTGTCTTAGAAACCTCCATTTTTACACAATTTTCATGGAGCAAAGCTTCATAATAAATGCTGAAGACCCTCTTATGCAGATGTTCATGAAATACATCTGTCATCAGACAGGCATTACTTACCCACAGGATAGAAATGTTTTGGTGTAGCATTTCTGCTCTTGAGCTGTTTGGCAGTTTGCTTAAGAACAAAGTGACCAGAGGGTGGCTCTTGAGCCATGTGTTATTCAAGTGTGAATCCCCAGCACAGCTGGGTCCAGTTGTTCCAGCTGTTGAAGCCTCCAAGCTCTCAGCTGGCAGAATAAATGATGCATGAGGGACAGCTAAGGACTGCCCTCACAGCTGAAATCCATCCTGCAAAGCTAAGGACTGCCCCCACAGCTGAAATCCATCCTGAAAAGCTAAGGACTGCCCTCACAGCTGAAATCCATTCTGCAAGATGACTAGGAGCAACTGCCTGCCCTCTTTTCTCATCTCTTCTGTGA